TGGTCGTGGTCGTGGTCGTGGTCGTGGTCGTGTTCGTGGTCGTGGTCGTGGTCGTGGTCGTGGTGGTGGTGGTGGTGGTGGTGGTGGTGGTGGTGGTAGTGGTGGTGGTGGTGGTCGTGGTCGCGGTAGCAAATCTAGCAGCAGTCGCAGCAGCAGCAGCAGCAGCAGCAGTAGCAGCGGCAGCAGCAGTAGTCGTCGTAGTGGTAGGCACGGCCTCTTTAAGCCGGAGCCTATTTGGCTTTACGATGCACCCAAGGGTCGCATCGCATGCCAAGGCTACTCTACCTGAAAGACAAACATCGCCAATCTAAACGCTTTCCAAGACAGCAGGATTCGCCATCCAGGAATACAGACCGTAGCGCAATGAACAGAACACCCAATGCAGGTCTTTCTCGGGAGTGCATGCACTCAACAGTGTACGAGGGTAACACTTTGCGATGCACAGCCCAGAACGTACTGGCAGCCCATGGCAGCCCCCTCAGAGCTGTGAGGCCAACCTCATCAAGGAGCTCTTCAGCTCACAGTACAGGGAAATCCCTGCTGTGACTGTGCACGAGTCCGCTGACTTAAAAAATGGTCTCAGAGTCTTCAGAGGTACCGACATTATGAGTGGGCATACGACACGACAAGTCATTGATAACCCTGCACTTGGGCGCAAGAGCTACGCACAAGGGTGCTTCGAAGAGCAACGGCCTTTTGGCTTGTAGTCTCCAGTGGGCCCGGCATCCGCACAGTCCTGAGTGTTTTATGGGTTGTCGCCATTCTGGCCTGCCACGCTGGCGTGCTGTGTGCACGCGACAATTGTGCCTGCAGAAACGTGTGCAAACTTTGCGACAAGCTGGTTGAGTGCATGACAGCATCTCAACACGGAGGAGTGCGGTCCGCTGCAAGTCGCACCGAAGCCGGCGTTTGCACTCCATCTTCTCCGGAGGCTGCGACATGGTGCCGCATTGCGTAGGTGAGCCCTCTGAGGGTCACACCCAAGACACCAGAGCAAACACTGCAGTATCTGTGCTAGGCCTGCTGGGCCGTCAGCAATCCTAAAGCAATCCAAAGCGGGGAGGGCGGCATGACAAGAGTCAGCAGCAGCACACGGGCCGGGGCGCCTTCTGGGCATAACAACCTCGAGCTTGAGCCTGGGTCGACAGGCCGCCGAACCGATCCAGGCTTGCAGCATCTCCCAGATGCGTAGACCGTTGCCTCTCACTGAAACCTTTACTAAGGCGTCGCATTGGACTTCGGCAGTTACAAATTACTTACAAGTATGAATTAAGTTGCATAACTTCGTCCTAAGTTGGCTAACTGTCTGCTAAGTCCTTGCTAACTTATGTTGCGGGAAGGCATAGTTAGCGAGAACTTAACCAACTTAGCACGCAGTTAGGGTAGGGCACTCAAAATAGTTAGCAAGAAGTTAACATACTTAGCGTTTTCGTTAAATTTTACAAGTTTGATGCACGACAATGGTTTTTTCATACATTAATCAAGAGTTTTTCGGTTCAGAGCGAACATGCAGAAACGCGGCTATTTCTCAAGGAGCAGTGTAGCGGTTTGGCGGCCCGTGTAGCATTCTGGCGGCCATGTCGAAGAAACTGGAAAAGGAAATTGCAGCTGCCCAGAAGTTCCTTGCAGGATTGAGGACGTTGCCTCAGTTCCCTGAGATCCAGAGTAGGCAACAACAGAGCCTAAGCAAGTCCCTGGATGCAATTGCATCGATTAGCATCTCAGAGTCCTGTTCCATCCTTGATCTTTGGACGAAAGCCTCTGGAAGCCCGAGTGGTTGGAGGATTTCAAGTCTTCGGCTGCAAGCAAGACATTCGAAGACGCGGTAGGTCGTGCTGTGCAGCAGGACTACACGTGTTTGCCTAAGTATCTGACGGCAGAGCTTTGGAATGGGCTTTTGCAGCCCAATGAAAATCCCAGAGAGAGGGTGCTGGAGCAACTCTGTATGCATGCAGCTCGCTTGGGCTTAAGGAATCCTTCCGAAGCCACCAGTGCTATGTTGCTCGCTTTGGTTTGGGGGCTCACCAGCGTTCCACAGCTGAGTGTGCACGACATGGCAGACTTGTTGAAAACGAAAAGAGGTATTATCAAGAAGCTTTTGCAAACCTCAGGCAAATGTGCTTTGCAGATGGCTTCTTTGCCATTTGATTCGGCAGATTTGCCGAATGAGTTTCTTCAGCTTGCCTTCAGTGGCAAAGCGCCGGCAGCTGCACAGCGGAGATGGCTGTTTGGCCATTGCTTGGCAACAATAAAGTCTTGCAGAGGAGCTCAAGCGGCCTCGTCCCCTCAGGCCCTGTCTCAAGCCAGATGTCTGGCAGCGAGATGGGACAATTTGCTGCTGCTTTTACTACGTCCCTTTTGGCGACGCAGGCCCGGGAGCCGGCTTCAGTTGCATCTTCTTCTTCGGGGTTGCCGATCCAGTACCTGGAACCCAATCATAAGAGACAGCGGCTGCTGGCCCTGAAAGACGCAGAGTCTGAGGATGTGCCGAGTGTATTGCCTTCCAAGGAGGCCAGCTCAGCCGCTCGTGGCTTGCGAAGAGCCAAGCGGCAGTGCGGGCGGGGATGAGAAACAACAGACTGTGCAGCCTTGCAATGTGTCACAGGTGCTGGAGGAGTTGAAAGGTGCTGCCAAGCAAGGGCAGCAGAAGCTCAAAGGAGAGCCCGCCTGCAGCGAGGCTGCGGCGAAGAAGCAAATGTTGAAAAAGCCTGCAGCAGCTCAGAAGCGACCCGCTGCACAGTCCTCTGCTGCGAGCTCGGACGACAAGTTTGCCCATCATAATTTCCGCGCAAAGGTGTATGGAGACTGCAGGGTAGAGTTTTTCAGTAACAAGTCCTACATTCGATCTTGGGACTACTCTCAGAAGAAGTATGTCATGATCATGGGATGTTGTGCAGATGGCATCCACAAGGATGTCTGCTTCGCATTGTTGCCGCATGTGAAGCAAGGTGTCTCCCGCAAGAAGCTGTGGGTGATACGCGAGGATTTGATGAAGAAGTTTTCGGCCTCCTCCTAGAGGAAGCAACTTTTAAGCTCCTTTTCCATAGAAGGGTGGAGAAAGAAAGGTCCGTGCGAGACTTCAAGGAAAATCTTCAGTTTTGCTTCCGGCTTTTTTATCGAGGATGTCTCATATAAAGTATATATATGTGCTGTATAGGCTCCAGATTTCGGCCTGCTCCTTTAGATTTTGCGGTCGCAGCCATGAAGAAGCCGGCAGCCCAAACGTTTAAGACGCCTCTGAAGAAGAAACCAGCTGCATCTGGCGGTGCCTCGTCTAGTTTGTCTGTGAATAAGAGGCCAGCTGGCTCAGACGCTGCTTTGTCTAGTTTGCCTGTCGAGAAGAAGCCTCCTGGCTCTGGCGGCGAATTGTCCAAGACAGCAGTGTCTAAGTCGACTGCAGTAGCGCCGCAAACGCCGGCATCGGATGCTACGACCAGGCATCTGGGCTCACCCTTCCAAGATGTTACATCGGAAGCAGAGCTTTTGGCACCCGCCGGTTTGCTTCTGGACTGGGATGGCTTTTCCTCAGAGGAGAAACTCCAGATATTGAAACAGCAAGCCAGGGAGAATCCTCCGCCTTGGCTCCCGTCGGCGATGGAGATTTAGCAGGTGGTCATTCTAATCAGAGCTTTGAGGCACCTCGGCTCTGCTGCAACAATTGGAGTGAAGCTTCAAGCGACTTTCCTGGAATTTGCACATGCTGCTCTGCCCCGTGAGAAAAAAAAAAGACTCCAAATCGGATAGAAACCACTGTCCGCTTTTGTCCGCGGCAAATCAGACCCCGAAACTGACTGTCCGCCGGGTACTGCCAGATAGTGTCCGCCATCTCCCGCTATGGCGGCTGGGGATAGATTTCCTTGTCCGCCGTGTCCGCCACACACACAAACTCCAGCAAACTCCAGCCCTGACAAGGGTCCGCCGGTCCTCCTTGTCCGCCCGACAACCGCTGGTCCTTCCCGTGGTCATCCTCTCGTGTGTCCGCCGAGGTTTGTGCAGAAACGCTTGAATTGCTGCTTTCTCGCGTTTTCCGCCGGTGCTCAAGCAGCCCGCTTGGTTCAAGACCTGCCTCCTGTTTCTCCTGTTCCTGCCCAGCCATGGCCTTGCCTTTGCCGGCTCCAGAGGGACAGGTCGTCTGCAAGTACTGCGGCCTCCAGTACCCCAACACACAGGGCCGCTGGCGCGGCGACCTCTTCGAGTGCCGCCATTGTGCGGCCTCTCTGAAAGCCATGTATCGCAACCTTGGTGGCCTGCCCGCAGACTTCAAGCAGATGTCTTCTGAGGAGACCTGCCCGCAGACTTCAAGCAGATGTCTTCTGAGGAGACCAAACACTTCTTCAGTGGCTTGGCTCGGCAGCGAGCGGAGCTCGCTAAGGACCAGCACTGTACCTGGAAAACTGTCCGTGCCTCCTTGGTCACGACGCTGGCAGAGAAGAGGACGAGCACCTTCAAACAAGAGCTCGAGGGAAAGTTTTTGCCTCTGTCCGTTTGGGAGAAACAAGGCTTCGACGCCCAGTCTGTCATGAAGTGCCCCAAGGAGGAGAATTCGATCCTCGGCGATCTCTTCTGTGTTCCAGTGAAAAGCATTTCCTGGACGGAAACAGTTGAGAAAATTCAGCCAACCCTGCTGGAGCAAGAACGCCAGGCAACGGCCAAGAAGCAGGCCAAGAGCAAGAGCAAGACGGCGGAGAACGACTTGGACTTGCCGGCTCCCGCCCCGAGCAAGAAGGACGACGAAACCAAGGAGAAGAAAGACAAGGAGCTGGCCAAGGCAGCAAAGAAGACTCGTGGCGAGAACGGCAAACTGAACGCCTTGGCCGCCAAGTCCCTCGGTGTGCTCACCACTCAGCACAGCTCTTTCGAGAAGCTCTTGAAGAAGTTTAGTGGTGACACGGACAAGGACTCCTTCTATATAAGTCTGTTCATCTATACAGTCATATACTCTCTCTCTTCTCTCTCTCTTCTCTCTCTCTCTCTCTCTCTCTCTCTCTCTTTTCTCTGTCTCTCTGTCTCTCTCGCTCTCTATATAGTTTCAGGGTCACGGGTTTGGGGTTGTGTCTGCCCGAAAGCTCCCTATATATAAAGCTGCAGCCCTTGAACGCCAGGAGAAGCTCCTCGACCCGGAGGTCCGCACTGTAGCGGAAGCACAGCTCGCCAAGCTCGCGGACCGGAAGGCTCAGACCGGGCAGCTGCTGCAAGACTTCGAGAAACAGACGAAGGCACCTGAGGAGCAGCCAGTCCAGGCTCTCTCCTTGCCTTACGACGCCGCGGAGCTCAAGGTCTTGCAGAAGCAAGTTTCCCAGACAGCCGCGGTTGTGCCTACTTGTCTGCCAAAAGCAGTGCCCAAGAAACGCGCCGCTGACGGGGCCAGCACGGCGCCCTCGAAGAGGCTTCGCGGCAAGGGCGCTGCAGTGGGCGGTGCTTGAACTGTTTAGGGAACACTCTGTTCCATAATTCGATTGCATGCATTCATGCCCTGCCCGTTGTACATCACGGCGGCTGCTTCTAGATCCCGCCACCATTGGGGTCGTGAAGACTTTCAGTGACAACTCGAGAAGACACGCAAGGGGGAGACACGCAAAAGTCTAATATACATCCTTTGTCTTTATATAGTCAGTTATAAGATCCGCTCCTCTGGCTGCACTGCCTCTTCACTCGGTTCCTCGAGATGTTCATTGCTTCTTCGCACTTGTCAAGCATGGGCTCAAAGTCGGACTCCAAGCTTCTGTATACACAGGAGCCCCCCCTCCCGCGCGCAGATCCGCTCTCAGCCGAATGGACGTGGTCAAACTCACAGCGGGAGATGAGGCTCCTCTATACACTTAAAAAAAATAATGTCTACGCATCCCGGGCTCTTTGTATACAGTAGATAAAAAATGTCAACGCCTTGAAGCCTCGATCAAACCAACGTGCAGGTACTCGTTGTCAGGGAAATCCGTGCCGCCCTGGCAAAGGGGAAACGGAAGCCGCACGAAGCGGGCTTGCTGCAGTCTTCCGGAAGCAGAAACTCTGCTTTCCTCGACGAGGTGGAGTGCGACTCACCCGGCCTGGAAGGCGAGGGGCTGGGCTTTTTCCTGGACGCTGAGCCGAGCAAGCCGCGACCCGTCTTCTTCGACAAGACGGACTCTCCCCAACCCGTGGCTTGTCGAGGACAACGCCTCACGACAAAGCAGCACAAGTACAAGATCCGATCAAAGGTGCTGCTGGACTCGTGCCGCAGCATTCAGCCCAGGTTGTCTGCAGACCTCGAGCAAAAGATGAAAGATCACGTGCAATTGCTCGAGAAAGTTCTGCAATTCATCTTTGCTTTCGACACCGGCTCGGAACCAGTCTTCATCTACACGATCAAGACATTATAAGACATTGAAGAGCATCACCTCCGACGCTGCGAGCTGTCTCGAATACGCAGAGCGGCACGGTTGAAATTCTGTGCAAGCCACATATAGCTTCGTATGCTCTCTGGGATGTCACAGTGAAGCATTCAATTAGCAGCATGCCCTGAGCAGCTGGAAACTGAAGTGGAAAATGTTTTGCATGCTCGGTTATACATGGCGGTGATACCTCTGCAGACCAGCCGATAGCATTCTCTGTCCCTCGTGCAGGAGTCCAACTCTGCGACTGCTTTTGCAGCCCTCCAGGCTCGATAGAATGAACCTGTATAACCCTCCACCCTTATATATAAAACCAAAACCTCTCGATGTTTTTAAAACCCTCAACCCCAAACCATATATACCTACATGGATTCACTCGTTAGAGAAAGCAAAGGAATAATCTTTTTGAAAATGTCTACTTTGGTCTGCAAGCCCCTCTGTAGTCACAGTTGCCTTCCATGCATGGCGACGGCCAGCACTCAGCGGAAAAGGAAATGGGATGAAGAAGCTCGACCCTTCGAGCAGTTCCAGCTTCTGCGGCAGATTCCTTCCCTTACCAAGACACAGTGTAGGCAGATCCTCTCCGTGGTTCGAGAGGATGGCAAAGGAAGTCGCTCAATGTCTAGACAGTCTGAAGTCTACAAGGACGTGCTGCCTGCTCTTCGACAACTGCGGTTGCAAGGCAAGGCCTCCAGAGAATTCTCGGTGCCTTATCTGCACCTGCCTACCATACTGGACCTAAAGGCTGCCAAGTGCCCTCACTTCCAGCGAGCCCTAAAGTCTGCTGCTGACCACAACAATCTCACAATGATCTTCTACAGCGACGAATGCACGCCTGGGAATGTTCTCGCTCCGGAGGCGACGCGAAAGTCTTGCATGATCTATGTAAGCTTCCTGGGCTTGCCGACACATTTGGAGTCCGCTTGGATCACACTTTCGGTGATGCGTTCGAAATACGGCCTCCTCGAGGAAACTCGCACCGCCGCTCGAGACGGCATGGTCGTTTCGCTTCCTTCAGGCCCCGAGCTGCTGTTCATTCAGAGGGTCCTCATCTTGGGGGATCACGAGGGCATGCGAGCTTTGTCCGGATGGAAAGGATCCAGTGGATACCGGCCATGTTTCAAGTGCGCCAATGTGGTCAGTTTAGGCGGCGCAAGACCGGCTGGCTTCGTGGATATCGCCAACTCAGACATGGCCCGCCTGCAGCCGCTCTCACACACG